TCAGCCTAACATTGGGGCTCAGCTCCCACAGTCAAGATTGTAATTATTTGCAGTGAGAGTAAGGACCAGATATACCAGGAGAGCAGGAGAGTAACACTGGAGGTAGCAGATGGAATTCAGTTTTGGTGCTGTGGACTGGGATATTAGGAATAGAGCACAGGCTGCTGCTGCTGAGATACGGACTCCTAGGCTCATCCCCGGAACACAGTCCACGGATGTGGGAAGCCACAGTCATCACAAACACCAGAAGCTCACAGTATATCACTTGACGGACAGAGGCGAGCTGGAAGGGCATGGTGAGAGGAAGTCACGTAGCACAGTTGTTGGCATTACGTAGGTAGGAATCAAATGCCTGATTGAACCCCAACTCCTCAAATGCCCATGTGGCCTTAGGCAAATTACTGAATTACTTTGAACCTCAATTTATTGATGTGTAAAATGGGAATGATAAAAGTACTTATCTCATAGATCTGTTGTAAAGCGTGATTGGGGTTTAATGTGTATAAAGCTCATGGTCTGAGGTCACGTGCGTAACAAACACATGAGAAATGTTATCCATTGTTAACATTGTTGGCGGTCCCCTCCTAGGAACCTTATGTGTGTTACTTAATTCAATTCTCCCAGCAACCCTAAGAGCGGATTTACTCTCACGTCACAGATAAGGAAACTGAGGCCCAAAGGACTTCCGCAGTTACTAGTAAACAGAAAAGCAGGTCTCTCCATCTATGAAGTCAAATCCCGCAGACTTCCCACCGAGGGTGTGCTGTCATGTGGGGCTGGGTGCACAATGCGTTGTCTACGGAGGGCAAGAGAGTCTGACGGGGGCGCCACACAGCCTCCCCACTTCCCTTTGTTATCATCTCTACCAGGAAACTCAACTTCTAAGGGCCTGGCCTAGAAAATCATGGTGGGGGCAGCTCCACAGTCCCCGGCCCCGGCTCCTGCCAGCACAGCACCGTGCTTCTGCCATCTCTGCCTGATCCTTGTGGAACTCTCCAGACACAGTCCCCGAGGCCCTCACTAACAAGGCCCTGGGTGGGAATGCTTTTTGTTCCTGAGGATTCATTAAGAATTTGAGGCCAATATCCTTAGCAAACTAACACAGGAACAGAAAACCAAATACCGCATATTCTCACGTGTAAGTGGGAGCTAAATGATGAGAACATGTGGACACATAGAGGGGAACAGCACACACTGGGGCCTACTGGAAGGTGGAGGATGGGAGGAGGGAGAGGATCAGGGAAGATAAGTAATGGGTACCAGGCTTCATACCTCGGTGATGAAATAATCTGTACAACAAACCCCCATGACACAAGTTTACCTATATAACAAATGTGCACATGTACCTCTGAACTTAAAAGTTAAGGCCGGGCACGGGGGCTCATGCCTATAATCCCAGCAGTTTGGGAAGCCAAGACAGGCAGGTCACCTGAGGTTGGGAGTTCAAGACCACCCTGATCAACATGGAGAAACCCTGTCTCTACTAAAAATACAAAATTAGCCGGGCATGGGGGCGAATCCCTGTAATCCCAGCTACTCAGGAGGCTGAGGCAGGAGAATCGCTTAAACCCAAAAGGCAGAGGTTGCAGGAGCCCAGATTGCACCAGCCTGGGTGACAGAGCGAAACCCCGTCTAAAAGAAAAAAAAAGTTAAAAAAAAAGAAGTGAAGTTGCAAAGGGCTTTTTCCATTTTTTCCTCCTTTCTTTGGTTTCTTCCCATCCCCAGATCCAAGGCAAGTTTCATCCTCATCTTCGGGCTTAGGAATTGGCCCGTGTCTGCCCCCAGGTCCTGTTTGGACCTGGCATCTGGGAGACAAAAAGCCCTCAATACGGAGACCCACGTTCAGTGCTGGCCCCACCTCTAGCTCCCTGGTAACCCTGGGAAAGCAGACAGCTCCTCTACATCCCATCTGTTAAATGGAGTTGTTATCATTTCCTTCCTAGTGATTCCTGTAGATTAATGGGGGGATGGAGATGATCACATGGGAGATATTCTCAATAAGCACAGAGCAGTGAAGCCACTGCTTCAGCCCTGCAGTGCTTATTACAGCGTGTATTATTTTCCCATCTTTGCCTCTCCCCACATGCCCCTCCCCTTTCTTGGGACTCATTTTGAGATCCCCAAAGGATAATACTGTGGTAAAAGAGTCCCATGGCAGAGACGGTCTCAGCCTGTCTTTATCTCATTTCCTTTATAGATGGCTCCTTACTTGCCTTTGGAGACACTGACTGAGTTTGTGTGGCCTCTTATCTCCTCTGAGTTCCTTTCCAAAAAAACCTGGCTGGTCTCTGTGCCGTAACAAGGTGAGTTCTGTCATAACCCTCCCTCTGATCCCTGGTAACCGGGAAGGGACTTTAGCCATCACTCAGTGGGCCAAACCTCCTGGCTTTACACGTGTGGTCGGCAAAGTCTCAAAAGCTAAAAGAAGAGACGTGCCCTGGATGACGTATCGAGAGAGTGGAAGAGCTGATACTATAACCCAGGAGGCGAGGCTCCTTTGCCAGGGACCTTTGCAATCCCCTCTTTTTTAGATGAAGTTTGTTTCCGATTTTGTTTTCTCCATCTCACTCTGTCTCCCAGGCTGGAGTGCAGTGGCACAATCTCAGCTCATGGCAACCTCTGCCTCCCGGGTTCAAGAGATTCTTCTGCCTCAGCCTCCCGAGTAGCTGAGACTACAGGCTGTTTTCAGATTCTATTAAGGATGAGTAGAAGGAGATTCAGTGTTCAACTTCTTCACCCAGAACCCAATCCTTACAGGACAGCCTGATCAGAACCTCGAGATCAGCCCTGGTGCATGAAGAACGCATTAGAGCTTTGGAGCAGGAGGGAGCACAGCATAGCGAAGGAGGTCTGGGACTCACACAGGCCCCGAGAGCGGTCATCTAGAAGGGCCTCCTCAGCAGCGACTGCTCTTGTGATCCCATCAGCCACAGACATCCTGGATGGTGGACAACCCAGGATTTGGGAGATCTTCCATAAGCTTTGTTCCTTGCTGATTGAGGTCTAGACAGTAGCTGCTAGGGAGCATACCATTCTGTACATGACTTGCATGTTTTTAAAAAATATTTGTGAAGTTTATATAAAAAGATGTATGTCAGTGTGTGGATTGCTGCAAGAACTGCACACCCCATTTAGACAAAAAGAGGAATCATTCCTACAGCAGTAACCTTGTACCTTTCACTCAACTTTTTACCTCTTCCAAATTACATCAATCCTTCAAAGTCTAGCACAAATTCCAACTTGTCCAGAAACCCTTTCCTCATCACTGCTGGCCACACGATGGCAATAGCAATGGCATCAGAAACCCTATTTGTTAACCAGAGCAATCATGCATTTGTTTATGAAACAGTGCATACATAAAAGGATTTATGCCTAAGGTTCCTAAAGGTGAATCAGACATGAATCTCGTTCTTCAATTGGACTGGGGGAACTAGGCTACATAGCTACGTGATTGTGCTAGAAATATAGTGGTAAGTGCCATGTAGAATGTAACTGAAGTGCATTGGGAAAGTCGATGACATAAATATCACTTTAAAAAGAGCATAGATCAGGCAAGTGTTTCTGGGGAAGGTGGCATAGGAAATGGGTCTTCAAGGCTTAACCATGTGACACTGGAAGGACACTCTATTTAGAGAAAACAGCATACGGAAGGTGGAGATGTAGGAAATCACAGCATTTGCGATCTGATGACATGAGTCAAAATAAGGGAAATCAGGGCAGATGGTGACCATGGCCATGGCCCCCCACCAAGGCACTTGCTTAGATTGAGCTACCGCCCCCTGCAAGGCAAGACTTTGGGATCTACAGGGGCACAGCTGTAATGACAGTGGGAGAGGGTTTTTGAGTCCTACGAGGGGTCACAGATAGATTGAGAGAGACTTGAAGGAGGAGGGCATGACTGTATGATCCTTGAGATGCTTTGGGTTACTGAGGGGGGTGGTAGGTGTGGTGGTTGAGAGCAGAGCCTCTGGAGTCAGACTACCTGGGTTAAAATCCTGCCTGTGACATGTGCTTTATATGACTCATGTTCTTTCTGTACATCTTATGACATGAATGCCTCAGTATTAATTATAGATCATTTGGAAAGTAGAGAAGAGTAGAAGGAAGAAAACAAAAACCACCTGTATTACCACTCAAACTACTAATAAGTGCTTGGTATTTCCTTCTAGTCTTGCGGTGTGTGTGTGTGTGTGTGTGTGTGTGTGTGTGTGCTTTTGTTAATATAAAATCATATTGTATAATTCTGCATCCTACTTTAATCATATCACCTTATAAGAAGTTCCTTTAAAATGAGTTTTTGAAGTATTTTTATCGTCTTCATCAATATATACTGATGATACATAAAGAAGTAAGCATTTTCCGTATTTTCTTTTCATCTTGCCACTTCTGTTTTAATAACTCTTTTCCTGCAGACAAATAGCGTTTTTCTGTCTTTCCAACATATAAACTTTTGTTTTCTATTCCTTCACATTAATTTGCTAGTGATTCTAGGACAGGTATAAAAAATAGATGTAGTGGAGAGAATCCCTGTCTTGGGCCTGACTTTCATAAGATAATTTGTTTTTCTCCATTTGGGAGTATTTTGTAGTATCCTTCTATTCCTAGATAACGACATCTGGGTGAGTTTTTTTTTTTTTTTTTAAGAATGGATTGTGACCTATAAAATGTATGTTTTAAGTAATTGATTTGATGTATTAGATAAATACATGGATGTATTAAGTTATCACTAATTTCTCACAAGAGCTATAAGTTAATAAAATTAATAAGGGTGGGTGGGTTATTTTTTTTAAATATTCTAATTATTAAAATTCTCTGTAGTTAGCTATATTAGCATTTCATTTTTATCCTCATAACTGATGTTCTCTAGTGATATTTTTTCTTTGTAAAATTTTTAGATTTTAGCATTTAGATTTTAGATTTAATTTTTAGATTTTAGATTTTTTATGCTGACTTCATAAAAAGTATTGGGATTCTTATAACTTTCTCATGCTATAGGAAATTTTATATAGCACGAGAATATTCGAGTCATTGAAATTTAAACAAAGCTTTTCTCAACAGCTTTATGAGCAAAGAGATTCTTACTAGTAAAATTATTCATTTCATTTTTAATTGACAATTTTATATATTTATGGAGTACAATGTGATTTCTAAATATATGTTTCCACTGTGGAATGGTTAAATCAAGCTAACTAACAAATCTATCACTATCACATACTTTTTTGTGGGAAAATATTTAAAATATATTATTTTAGCAATTTTGTTCGATGGCAACATTCTTTTATGGAGTGAATTTTATCTGTTTTTCTTGTTTATTTACCTCTTTTTCCTTGTAGAATCCATGTTTATATGCTATGCAGGTTTGTTTGAATCCTTAAATGAAGTGAGTTTTTGCCAAACTAGATATTCACAATACGCCGTACCTTGCAAGGCTAAGACATGTTTCAGACGAGCAGGAACCTATCTTGTGATTCAAAATTGGAAGTCAATTATTTTAGCTTTTACTGGTCTGTAATGAATACAGACAGGTAACTAGAACTGTTAGAAAAAACTGTATTTTTTTCTAATTTTTGCCTCCAGTCTTATGCTTTATCTATACCCTGTGAACTTAAGTCTTCTTTTTTGCCTTTTCTCTGCCTCTTGAGCCCAGTCCGGATCACAGAAGATTGCAGTGCCATGCTTTGCACCACACACCCATTACTGCAAACAGGGGCTTTTTGGTTTTTATTGATTACCTTCCCTAACTCACCCTTTGCTTTTAAGAGAAGTGTATTCATTTAACTCTCCTACAGCCATGGAGTTCCTCTCTCTGCTTCCTGTCACTTTCCTATTTGATCTTACCTGTTCTTGAAACCATCCAATCTAGTTTACGGATCGGGGTTGTGGATATTTACTAATTTCTTTGAAGATAGAATCTGTGTGTTTATTTTCCTGCTTGCTTTGGAAAGAGATGAATTCTTAGAAGAGAAAGTTTTGGATGTACTCGGCCATGTTCAAAGCAGAAGTACGCTTCACTTATTTTTCCCAAGGGTTTTGTCTTTCATAATCTTTACAAACAGGTTCTTGCAGCTGGGGGGTGGGTTCAGGTAGGGAGGCCCAGAGTGGTCATGTCACCTGTTCTTACACCTGCAGATAAAGTAAACTTATTCAGGTAGACGTAGTGAAAGAGTAAATAAGTGTAGTGTGGCCTAAGGAGCGGAACCCTCCTTGCTTGTGCAGAGGGAACACAGCAGAGGGCTGGGCAAGTAGAGGAGGTCTGTTTCTTTTTTCTGAATGAATCAATTAATTGAGAGGATGGATTCTTTTCCTCCTTGGATGTTTCTTTGCAGGAACTCATGCAGCCAGAATCTGGGGCCAATGGAACGGCCATTGCTGAGTTCATCCTGCTGGGCTTGGCGGAGGCACCAGGGCTGCAACCAGTTGTCTTTCTGCTCTTCCTCTTTGCCTACCTGGTCACGGTCGGGGGCAACCTCAGCATCCTGGCAGCCATCTTGGTGGAGCCCAAACTCCACATCCCCATGTACTTCTTCCTGGGGAACCTGTCAGTGCTGGATGTTGGGTGCATCAGCGTCACTGTTCCCTCTGTATTGAGTCGTCTCTTGACCCACAGGCGTGCAGTTCCCTACGGAGCCTGCCTTGCCCAGCTCTTCTTCTTCCATCTGTTCGTTGGAGTGGACTGCTTCCTGCTGACCGCCATGGCCTATGACCGATTCCTGGCCATCTGCCGGCCCCTCACCTACAGCACCCGCATGAGTCAGACAGTCCAGAGGATGTTGGTGGCTGTGTCCTGGGTTTGTGCTTTCAGCAATGCACTGACCCACACTGTGGCCATGTCCACGCTCAACTTCTGTGGCCCCAATGTGATCCATCACTTCTACTGTGACCTCCCGCAGCTCTTCCAGCTCTCCTGCTCCAGCACCCAACTCAATGAGCTGCTGCTTTTTGCTGTGGGTTTTCTAATGGCGGGTACCCCCATGGCTCTCATTGTCATCTCCTATATCCATGTGGCAGCTGCGGTCCTGCGAATTCGCTCTGCAGAGGGCAGGAAAAAAGCCTTCTCAACGTGTGGCTCCCACCTCACTGTGGTTGCCATATTCTATGGTTCAGGTATCTTTAACTACATGCGACTAGGTTCAACCAAGCTTTCAGACAAGGACAAAGCTGTTGGGATTTTCAACACTGTCATCAACCCCATGCTGAACCCAATCATCTACAGCCTCAGAAACCCTGACGTGCAGAGTGCCCTCTGGAGGATGCTCGTGGGGAGGCGGGCACTGGCTTGAGGAGGGCACTGGCTTGACTCTTTCTCCCTGTGTCTTTTTGTGCTAAAGGAAAAATCTTCTAGAGCCAGAAACCAGGAAAAACATGGTTCAGACCTGTTTCTATCTCCCTGGGCATAAGAAGGACTTTTTGTAGGGAAGAATAGCTATCATTTCTTAAAGCAGCCCTGCCCAGTTATAGGCAGTGGGTGTAGAGGTTCTGCCAAGCCAGCCCCTTAGACAAATTACAACTTCAGGAACTGTGTTCTCCCCTTTCTGGCTAGAGGGGAAACCTGGGAAGCTGTGAATGCTTACAGGCTCCAAGAGGGAATGACTCGCTGGTTGGATACAGCTTGGTTTCCCAGAAGCACCCCAGAAAACTTCCCCCACCCCAAAGTCATCTTTTTCCCTCAAGTTCAGGTATGCTTGGTCTGTGTATACATCATAGGTCTAGAGATTAGGATTGTTTTATTTCTCCCATCAGAACACTATAAGCAAAAATGTAACAAACAGAAACAAAAAAAAAAGTAGCTCTTTCTATTCCCATTAAACAAAGATCCCATAGCATCTCCAGGGGACAGAGGGGAAGCTGTATGATGATGTGTCCTCTAGTAATTCTGGTGCACACGAGAGCTGTGTGCAGCTCATAGACTTGTTTCTAAAGGTTCAAACTCCATTAATATATATTATATGCCTTATGATACAAAAAGGAATTTTCCTCATCTTTTTTCCACATGTGTTTCAAATTTTTTGAAAAGATATGAATTTATAGTCTAAGCATTATTTACATATTTCAAAATCTCCAAGACTACTCAATGTGAAATTTCCCCAAACCTCTCACTCTTAGTCTCCAGGCCTCCTAGCCGAGATGATCCATAAGTGTAAATGCAAGTCACATGGTGGGGACTCACCCGACATTTCCCTTCTCACGAGGGGAGCGTGGCTCCGACCCAGAGCATTCTCTCCACTTGCTTGCTGTTAGACCGGCCATTATTTCGCTGTATCTTCTTTTCAGCCTCCCTTTTAGGACACATTCCCCACTCCTGGCACCTCTGCTGTGCCACTGTTGTTTCCCAGCTCATTTCCATAAACTTTCCTTGCACCTGTGACTTGGCTTCTCCATGATATTTTACGCGGGTGAGGGATTGAACAGATGGGGTAAGATAGAGATAAAGAGAAAAGACACCGAAGAGGGAAGCAAAGCAAGATTGGAGGAGGAGAGTGGGTGGGAAATGAAGAGGAGAGATGAGGAATATGGACAGCTGGGATAGAACTGCAAGTGGAGGGGCAGAAAGCGAAGCATGGCAGTATTAGAGAGGACCAAATGGGTCACGCAGAACGGGACAGGAGAAGGAATGGAGGAACTGGGTAAGATGCCTTGGGACTTTTAAAAGATCAGAGGAAGAAAGTGGGGGATGAAATTAGTGGGTCAGACCTGAGAGGTGTGGGCTTCCCAGTCTACGCTGTCCAGAAATAACTGATTCCTGTGGCCCTGATGCCATCATCGTAGTCTGTCGTTTCCACGAAGAAGGAAGTGATTGATGTTTTAAGTCATGCTGAAGGTACGAAAAGTTAGTACAGAGAGGACTCGCTTTCTCTTTCTCTAAACAGAGGTGCTCCTAGAATGTCAGGAAGAAGGTTGACTAGATTAGAACACAGAAGAGAAGAATGCTGGGTATTTTCTCCAGCTACGTATCTAAAATGTCATCAAAATTTGTGGGGAACTGCCCAACTGACACACCCTACTTTTGAGTCATGCTGGCTGACAGTGTCACAGACATCGGGAAAAGAGGTCTTTTTCTGTGTCTTACTGTGTCATCAGACAAACTTCAGGACACAAAGAGTGAGTGTCCTTCAAGGGTCAAGAAGACTGCTGGGGAGACCTGTGGGTGGCTCTCCTCTCACTTCTCTCACTCACGATGCTCTTCACCTTGAGTCAGCTGATTACTTCCTCTGGGTCTGTTCTTGACCAAAAGCACTAGGTAATATTAAGGTTCTTCCACTGCGAATGTTCTCTGAGCCTGTTAGTTTGAATGAATGGAAGGACTGTATCTGTTTACCCTGAGAGAGCTACCACCTCTTCCACCGTCACTTCCTCTGCTGCATTTAACACCTGCAGCCAAGCGGAGCCTGCTGTTCGTCTCCAAAGACCCCGGCGCCTCTGGCATGTCTTCCCGCTGCTATTGACTTCAAGCCTCAAGGACAGATTTTTGTCTTGGCCTCCTTGTCACTCGGGGGGAATGGAGCAACTGAACCCAGCATGATAGAGAATGGCCACGGCCTGATTCCCAGCTCTGTGTCCACCCTCCAGGATCATAGGGTTTCCTTATCAACTTAGGACACGCTGTTTCTTTTGGAATTTTTCTCCCTTTCTATATTCCAAACTGAAAATCTCCTTGCCACTTAAAGATTCTGGTATAATAATACATCACGTTGTAAACGTCCAAACAGTGCGGAATGTCATCACCACCCTTCTGCGCCATCCCACAAAAATCTCATCTTTAACAGTAACTACTTCACGTTTAGCTTTCCACACAAGTGAACACACACAAACACACACTCCCACACATACATTCGACACATAATATTTTGTAATTTTACTTTCCTCTGTCTATATTACATAGTATAATTCTAACATGTGAGCCTACAAATCTACCTTATCCATCTTAAAGGCTGCATAATATTCCATTTTATGTAAAATTATCATCTGTTTAACCAAACCCCTATTGATGTCATTTAGTTCCTGTTTTTGCAACTGCTAATACTTAGATTAGTAATTATATATCTATCTGATATCTGAAATTATGTGAAACTGAGATTAGTAACCATGTATCTATCAGAATATCTACAATTACTTCCGGCGGCTAAATTCATGAAGGTAATTTGTTTGTGTATAAGTACATGTGCACTAAGGGAAATACAAAATTTAAAGTTGGGTAAGTATTCTGTCTTTGTACTTGCCAAAATAAATGTACCCCATTTTACATCCAGAAGAGTAGTGTATGCAAACGCTTGTTACATCACATCTTTGACTTCATTGGATGTTATATATGTATCTTTTTATATTTGAAAATTAGATGAAATATTGTAGTATTTTTAATTTGAATTTCTACATGTATGTGTGTGGTTGAATACATTATTATGTACAGTCATGTGTCACTTAACGACAGGGATACATTCTGAGAAACGCATGGTTAGGTGATTGTGGTGTGCGAACGTCACTTACACTTGCACAAATCTAGGCGGCATGGCCCACTAAACACCTGGGCTATGTGAAATAGCCTGTCAATAGCCTACTGCTCCGACCACTGCCATGTACGCCGACTTTGTAAACCCAAACATCATTATACAGCACATAACTGTATTTATTTGTCACTTGCATTTCTCCTTTGCAAATTTCTTGTTCTTTTTTCTTTTATTTTTGCCCATTTGGTGGTGGTTTATCTTCTTGTAAATGGTTGGTAGAAACCCTTTCTGTTTTAAAACGGTAATACTTCGCCTTATATGTTGCCAACATATTTCCAAATTTCCCATTTGTCTTTAACTTTGCTTAGAGTACCTGCTGCCCAAATTAAGTTTTGTATTTTATGAACTTTTTCTTCTTTGTTTTATGTCATGCTTAGAAAAAAGAGCTTTTTCATCTAAATGCTGTATAAATATGTCTGTTGTTTTTCTAGTATTTTTACATCTTAAGTCAAATATTTAACATATTTAGAGCTTATTGTTGTGTATGTTCTAATTTTTTCCTAGTAGATAATTGTCTCAACACAATAAAATATAAGTTTAATTCCATATACAGTGTATGTGATATTATATATAATAGAAAAACATAAATTCAGCAAAAGTAAAAATATTTGAACTGAGACCTGTGCTGACACCCAAGAAGCAAGTTTGCAGTTGAAGCCCAGCCGAGAGAATTCCCTATCAACACACAGGAAAACACACAGGATCAATAATCTCCTCTAGAATCTCCAGCAGAACTTCATCTGCGTATTTTCCAGGACACAGTCCAGAATTACCCAATCTATGAAGAATCAAGAAAATGCATTCGCCAAAGAAAAGAAAATCCAGCATGTCCAACTCTGAAATGAGCTAGATGTTGACACTAACAGAGAAAAATTTTAAACTGCTGTTATAATTAGGTAAAAAATTGAACATGTTTTCAATGAATGAAAACCTCAGCAGAGAAACAGACACAATACTGTGTACACAAGGATGCAGAGTGGAAGGACAGACAATGGAAACTCAGAAATGTGAGCAGGGGGGTGGAGGATGAGAACAAATTACTTCATGGGTACAGTGCACATGATTTGAGTGATGGAAACCTGAAAACCCTGACTTGACCACTATGCATTCTATGCAGGTATCAGAAATATGAGGGGTGGGAGGGGGTGGATGATGAGAAATTACTTAGTGGGTAACAATGTACATGATTTGAGTAATGTCCCCATCTCAAGATCTCAAACTTTAAAGTCTCCTTTTCCATATAAAGTAGATTCCAGGATTTAGGTTGGATATCTTTGGGGCCCATTCTTCTACCTACCACAATCAGGGAGGGGAATTCTTTTCAGTGAGTGAATTCTTTCCTCTTCATTCATAAATGTGATTTCTTCTCTCAGACTGCGCTGAGAGCTGACTTTAACTGGAGGTACTGAGGGAAATGTAAAATATTCTTGAGAGGACAAGAATCATCGTGCGTGAGACTTCTGCCTCGTATCAGATATGTGCATGGTGTTCAGGCAAAAGGAGATTGTTTTCCTCCAGCGAGGAAAGGGCTTCTGCCCTGGCAAGTGAATTCAGGGGAATTTGGGGATTCCACATTCTCATGCTTAGCCACTGAAACGTCCCCATTCCAGAACTCAGGGTCTCACCCCTTCCCTACCAGGGCCCAGAGTTTAACAGAGGAGACCTGCCCAAGCCGCACATGGAACCTGTCTAGTAGCTCTCCTGCCCTGCGATGAGGTCCTAGGGGTGACTTCTACACTGGGTGCCAATGACTGCAGAAGATTCATGTCTCATTAAGTGTTGCCATGGAAGGTCTCTGGTTTTTGAAACATCACCTGAGCTGATGGGAGGCTAACCTGGGACTGTTCTTCTTCTTCCAGACTTCCAAGAAAGTTAATAAAAGTCTTAAAAGTCCAAAAGTGTTATGATTACCATCATTCTTATAACATTATCATGCTAGAGTTGACATATAACCTAACATTTCATCTTCCACCTGTACCTCATTCCAGTCTATCACAAGCAAGTCTCTGTAATTATGATGTCTGCCCTTGTTAGGGTTAATCACCAAACCCCCATACCCAAAGAGTGGTGAATGGTGAATGAGCCTGTCTCAGAACTCCTGCTGGAAGATTTGCTTCCTGGGGCTGCTCCCAGAGCCAAGACTCCTAGTTGGGTTCTCTGCAAAGCAGAGCCTGAGACAAGACATGAATGCGTGGTTTAATCAGGAAGTCGTCTCAGGGAGCATGGGTGAGGACATCGATTTGGACGGTGGAACCAGCAAGACTGATTCCCAGAGAGGGTGAGGCAGAGAAGGGAGAACTGTCCCTTACTAAGGGCACGTGACCAAAGTCCTCTATGGACAGAGCAGGAAGATCCGTGCCTTGGTGAGGAGCACATAACCAAAGCCCCTGTCATGGAGGCAGAGACTCGGCTGTCCACGGCCTG